TGCCACCGATGACTAGTTTGTTGAAGGCACATAGGTTTGCAAATCTCTCACCATTTTCGTTCCTTTCTCCCAGTCTATGTCGTCCCATGATGTCTTCATATCCAGTGTTGTCCATGCCAACTTTTGCATTTAGGTCTCCCATTAGAATAGTCAAATCCTTCGGTGAGCATCTGTCGACGACTGACTGCAGCCTTTCGTAGAATTGATCTTTAACGTCGTCATTGTAGTCATTGGTAGGTGCATAACATTGGATGACGTTCATTGTAATGTCCTGTTTCTTTGTTTTGAAGGATGCTTTAATGATCCTCGGTCCATGAGATTCCCATCCTATCAGTGCCTTTTGTGCATTTTCGGACAGCATCAGTGCAACTTCATGTGTCTGTGAAGCACTTTCCTCTTCATGACCAGAGTATAACAGCAGTTCCCCTGAAGCTAGTCTCAGTTGTCCTACCTGTGTCCAATGCGTTTCACTGATGCCGAGCACCTCGAGGTTGTATCTTTTCATTTCTGCCGCAACTTGAAATAGTCTTCCAGTCTCCCACAATGTACGAACGTTCCATGTACCTAAAAAAATGGTTGCTCTGGTTGTTAGAAGAGGCATCAGCCCCGTGACTTGCGAGGGAACTCGGCTTTCATCACGCGACGTCATAATTCTTTCTTTTTTGGCAAGTTAGATTTCGACGGAACGGGGTCGCCAACCCCATGTCCAACCCTCCTCCTTTACCCGGGCTTGGGACCGGCAGTAGCCCCTAAGGTTCTGCTGGCGGAGTTTCATTGATCGTTTAGATTGCAATTAATCAGTCTAATTTGACAATACGTATATCCTATTGCAAATTGTCTTGATGTGACAACTTGGTCACGAGCATTATATAGGCTAGCCACTATCTATCTCTGTTTATAGTGCTTTTGACCTAGTTGCCATATGAAGACAATCTGTAACAGGATGTATGTACACCAAATGAAACAAATCAATTTTAACAACACATATATAAGTTAACAATAATTGTTGTTTTCGATTAGATCGTCATCAGGCTGCTTTACTCTAATATACATGAATATTTATGATGAAAATGTTAAACCAATCAAGGCAATTCATGAGTTAATAATCACGTCACTACACCTCTAATAGGCAAAAGTACAAGTGGATAGTAGGAAAACAGGTGTACTGATAGTAGTAAGAAAACTATAAAATATGATGACTAAAGTTTTATCAATAGCAGGTCAAACATGAATGAATAGACTTTAAATAATCATTAAAAACATCAAAACCATTACGTAATAAGCAAATGTGTAAAAATAAAAATAAGATAAAAAATATAATGTCAGTTGTTAGTTACTTCATATTCGGCCACGGAACAGATAGGGATGTCACGAATTTCTTCTGAACTCATAAATTGGGGTTGAATGGCTTCTGCAATGTGTAGGAGACGGGATCGAACTCCGTTGGGAAATGATTGAGGTATACGATAGATCACCCGAAAAGATTTAGACTTATCTGCAATATGACCACTATCAACCAGATATGCTAAGATCGAACTGCGTATTATTTTTGACTGACCCTTCGTAAACCATGCTGGAAGATGTTCACTCATTCGTTGGTTAAGTTGCCTGGTAGTACGCCCGAACGAAGGATAAGTTACCTGAGTTGGCCTCATCTATGTGCATTTACAAATTCAGCTGCTCCTGTGGCGATAGCTATATCGGGCGTAGTACCAGGCAGTTAAACCAACGAACAAATGAGCATCTCCCAGCACGGTTTATGAAGGGCCAGTTAAAAAATATACGGAGCTCTATTTAGGTATACCTGTTTGATAGTAGTCTTATTGGAGATAAATATAGATCGTTTTGAGTGATTGTCTTCATATGACAACTTGGTCACGAGCATTATATAGGCTAGCCACTATCTATCTCTGTTTATAGTGCTTTTGACCTAGTTGCCATATCAAGACAATCTGTAACAGGATGTATGTACACCAAATGAAACGAATCAATTTTGACAACACACATAAGCAAACAATATTGTTTTCGATTAGATCGTCATCAGGCTGCTTTACTCTGATATATACATGAATATTTACATATGAAAATGTTAAACCAATCAAGGCAATTTATGAGTTAATAATCACGTCACTACACCTCTGATCGGCAAAAGTACAAGTGGATAGTAGGAAGACGGGTGTACTGATAGTAGTAAGAAAATTATAAAATATGATAACTAAAGTTTTATCAATAGTAGATCAAAGGCGGATGAACAGACTTTAAATAATCATTAAAAACATCAAAACCATTACGTAATAAACGAATGTGTAAGAATAAAAAAAAATCATGTCAATCGTTAGTTACGTCATATCCGGCCACGGAAGAGATAGGGGTGTCACGAATTTCTTTTGAACACATAAATTAGGGTTGAATGTACGTATTCCTATGGCTTCTGCTATTTGTGTAGGAAACGGGATCGAACTCCATTGGGAAATGATGGAGGTATACGACAGATCACCAAGAAAAAGATCTAGAATTATCTACAATGATTATTTGAAGTCTATTCATCCACCTTTGACCTACTATTGATAAAACTTTAGTTATCATATTTTATAATTTTCTTACTACTATCAGTACACCTGTCTTCCTACTATCCACTTGTACTTTTGCCTATTATATGTAGTGACGTAATCTCTATTTCATTTCATTGTGATTATTGACTCATGAATTGCCTTGATTGGTTTAACATTTTCATATGTAAATATTCATGTATCTATTAGAGTAAAGCAGACTAATGACGATCTAATCGAAAACAATAATACTGTTCGCTTATATCTGTGTTGTTCTAATTTTCACAATAGGAATCTTTAATACTCTTAAATCAATTGTAGTCTTAACTATCAATGAAAAGATTCAAACTATGAATATAGTTAGTGAATTGATTTGGATATCAATTTTTGACGAAACAGTTTGAAATGGGAAAAGAATTATATAACTAATTGAATTAATGAAATTCTTAGATGTATGTGAATTCATACAATTCTAATATCCTTAGCATTCTTGTTGTTAGCTGTTCAACTCTGTCATGTTATCAATGTCAAGGGTAGAGAAAAATTTTTTTAGCTTAGGTGAATGATTGTGGTGGTGTTTCATTCTCTCTGAGCTGGATATGTTGTTCGTGGAGATTTCATTGTTCCACAATCAAAATATCCATCTCGTAGAGAATGTGAAACACCACCACAACCGAATGTCACAAACACACACACACACAAACACATAAGTATGTCTGATTTGAACTACCATGACAGTAGCATATGACATTGACTTGGACAGACTTGTGTTTTTGATTGACTGTAATGTAAATTATTTTGTTTTTCTTTTTGTTCTTTTGTACTATCTAAATTTGGGTTAATTTAATTTTCAGGAACCATTTAATAGATAGAATAATTAGTGAACATTAATCAGATTATGTAATTATATCACATTAAAATGATTGTTAACTAAATTAGGCTAGAGGTTGTTATGATAGGATTATCCTTCTTATTCCTATATTAACCTTATTTATTGTGATCATTAATCGAACAATTTTATTTTTAGGCGCAGAGTTTTGGAGATTTGTGTTTTTACACATTTTCTTGAAATCATCAATCAATCATTGTTAGACCACCGTTAGAAACGTGGAAGTAATGGATGGCCGTTTCGTCCTGGTATAGGACTCATTAGTGGCAGTGCGCATCCACGACTCCGATGGTTAGGCATTCGTGCACAATACCGAAGGTCCCGGGTTCGAATCCTGCGAGGAGCAGGAGTCGTGGATGCGCACTGCTGATGAGTTCCATACCAGGATGAAACGGCCGTCTTTCAGTGCTTCCAGGTTTCTAATGGTGGTCTAACAATGATTGATTGATGATTTCAAATGTGTAAAAACACAAACCTCCAAAACTCTGCCCCAAAATATATTATTTTTATTTGTATATTTCAAACTGATAAAGGCTACATAGTTTGTTAGAAAAAAAAATCTTCCTGAATGGTAATCTATGATCTGTAGTAGGAATTTGATTAATTGTAGTTTCTAGTGAAAATAATTATTTATTTATTTTCCCCCTTTTAGATCAACAATTCATCATAAATAACTTGTAGTTCAGAGAAATAGAGAGTAAATTTTTTTTTAAAAGATAGTGATTTCTGTTCAAGAATTTATCTTTTTTAGCAAGTCAATATTATTAACCAGGCAGTTGTTGAAAAACTAGAAAGTTTTGCGTAATTATTACTATTCTTGACACTGAAATCACAAATTGATCAGTGTTAGATCACTATTAGAATCTTGGAAGCACTGAATGACTGTTTTTTTCCTAGTATAGGATACCTTAGTAGCGTGCATTCACAACCTGTGCACAGGGGAATCGAATCCAGGACCTTCGGTCTTGCGAGTGAACGCCTAACCATTCGATCCCCGGGGCCGGCATCCAACAGTGTTAATGTCGAAGTTTAATCAATCGAAGGTATTGAGCAACCCCACTCAACGGGTGCCGTTGGTCACGGCTATTCTGTCTAAAGAACATATTAAATATTATTGTGTGAATCTGAAGTCTTAGTTAATTAAAATACTTAAAACTTTATTAAAAATAAGCATAATATGATAAGTCGTACTTACTTTATCGTTATCTTGTATAAGCAAATCCTCAAATGAACATGATGTATACCACTTGAAGTATAAGTAAAGCACTAAATAAACTGTAAACTTGATATGATGACATATAATCGCTCAATTTAATCCAGTTTTTATAGTCTATAAAAACCCATACAATAACAATATTCTATCATTTTTTTATTTTGTTTAGGTTGAACAAATGCATAACAAACTACTCTCATGTAAGATTATACATTTTAATAGTCTGGTACATATCGTCAGTTAATTTGGTCATTATTCATGCTTACAAATCAGATAATTTATTAAGAAATCATTGGTTAAGTAATATTCAAGATGATGATCTTAGACAAGCGATTGAACAAGAAAATATTACAGAAGAACAATTAAAAGATCCACAACAATTTGATCGTTTATTAAAACGTTTAATATTTCTATCACCTAAACATTTACGCAGATTTATGAAATTGTTAAGAGAATGGAATAATCTTAGTCAACGAATAAGGTAAGTATGATTGATAGCATTAGAAAAATATGGACTTTATTTTCATTCTGAAAATTTTTTTCTTTTTTTGGATTAAATACTGAGGTCGAAATTCATTTATCGCAGTCATATTTGTTAGGTTTGTCATTAGGTACACATGAAGCTATTACGGGTTTAACTAAGTCGATAAACGCGAACAAGACAATGAACCAGCGTCCAGTTAGGCTAACTTGATGCAAAAAAGCCAAAACAGAGGTCTTGATAAACGTCCAGCAATCACACAATACAATCGAGCATACAACTCTCATTTATTTATACATCATAGAAACGTCTTTGGGACAGTCACAAAAATAGCACACTGAAATACACAGCAGCCAATCACAGCTAAGGATTTTCCTGGTGGGAAATCAAATCTCAAGGTCAACTGATCAGCACATGCTCGTAAACATGAAATCCAAAATTAAGGCATTTATCAAGCAGAGTTCTGGGTTTATCTAACATCCTCAACAATATTGTTGGATGGCATTTGGTGTTAGAAGGCTATATATATATAAAGCTAAATGTTATGTATTTATAAATCAGAACAGTGGTTCCCTTTGATAAATTTGAACAGAGAAATAAGAAGACATATTTTGTGAGATAGTACCATTTCGTGCTTTCTCGTCAGTCACATACAAGCAACATGTTATTCGTGTAAATACAGTTTTGAAGATAAGGTCAAAATTTCTTATTAAGCATGACATTTACTCACTAGAACCATGGTAAACAAGGCTCAACGTACGGTTGTTTTTGAACACACAAAGTTGGACTTTTCCAACCAATCAAGATAGCTACGAATAGTTTGAGTGTGTGTGGGTTTTGATGACATGTCACAACTCTAAAGGCTGATTTTGGGCCAATTTGATGACCACTCATCATTAAATGTTTTGCAATGGACGAGGCTGGGTTTCTTGATCGATTTTGAGATGACGGGCTAGGTTGATGAATCATGGATTTGTTTAACCATTTTGGAATATGTTCCTCTATCCTGTCTTCCAATCGGCGATCTCTCCTCCCTAAGTAACTTTCTCCGCAGTTACATGTGAATTGGTAAATACAGTGGGATTGGGGTAACTGAGATCGATTGAGTTGTTGTGATAAGCCTCAGATTAGCTGCATTGAAGGTCTTTTTTATTGCATCTGCAGTCTGTTTGGTTGTAATTTTCATGCAATGATCACCCTTGAAAGGTAACTGTAGGTACACTGGTTTCTTGGGCACATCAGTTGCTATCAGTTTCGTCGTAGTTGTGTTCTGATGACCAATAAACGTTTCGGGATATCCCTTTGATTTAAGTGTCTCAGTAATAAGTTTGAATTTGTCGTTCAATGTATCAGCAGTGCAGATTCGACTTGCTCAAGCGAATAAAGTTTTGACAACAGAACGTTTATATTGTATGGGGCAGAAACTAGTGAACTAAAGGTACTGTCCCGACCAGGTGTATTTACACAAATAACATGTTGCTTGTATATGACTGACGAGAAAGCACGAAATGGTACTATCTCACAAAATATGTCTTCTCACTTCTCTATTCATATTTATAAATCACTTTCAAATCAACTTCTAATTTTGGTTAATTTCGGAATACTTAATAGTATAACAAGTTTGCGTAGACGGATTAGAATTCTTTTGAACTATAATTTTATTCAAAAAATAAAATTTTTTAAAAATTACCTAAATTATTCACTTTAGGAGGCAGTATGACAGCAACAAAATCTTTACATGACGATGTTTATTCATTACAAAATTCGTTTGTCTGTTATTTATCATTGTTTATAAAAAAAGGGTGATAATTATTACATACACTGACTGACTGATGTAATCATTAACTTTCTTTTTCATGCAACTGTTAAGTTTTATACTTTACATAATAATTATTGCTTTTGCAGTGATCACTTTTAACTTGTTTCGTACTTATATAATTGCCTAATACTATTCACTGTTCCGTAATTACTCATAGTTTTTTTGTCTGATATCTCAATTGACGGCATAAATTTTCCTTTCAAGACAATGTAACACAATGAAAGATAATTTAACATTTTCAAAAAAAAATTATTTTTTCTGCAAAAACAGGAAAATTTACAATGAAAAAGTGAATGGTAATCTAAAAATACATTCATAGATTTTATTTTTCAAAAAAAATGACAGTTGATCAGCACTATGATTTTTGGTAAAATATTTAAAATGAATGAATACTGAATTTATGCCATATATGAAGATTAAGTTTCATTGAGGAAAATATTTATTTTACTGTATAGGTGATGTTCGGGATGTTAGATCCCCAAAATTCGCTTGATAAATGCCTTATTTTGGTTTTCAAGTTTGCCAGCATGGGCTGATCAGTTGACATTGAGATTTCATTTCCCACCAAGAAAATCCATGGCTGTGATTGGCTGTTGTGTATTTTAGTGTGCTATTTTTGTGACTGCTCTAAGGACGTTTCTATGATGTATAAATAAACGAGAGTTGTTCGCTTGATTGTATTGTGATTGCTGAGTGTTCGTAGAATATACTTTCTACGCTTGCCAAGCCTTCTGTTTACAGTTTGGGATTCAAGGTAGCCTACCTGGACGCTGGTAAAAGTATCGTTCGCGTTTATCGACTAAGGTAAACTCGTAATAGCCTCAAGCATACTTAGTGACTAACCCAATAGGTGATTAGTTCTTAAGTGGATGAAAATGGGTAATGGCTGAAATAGTGATATAAATTAATGTAAACTAAGCTTAACTATCATGAGTATAGAAAATGTTTTTTTATTGCTTTTTCTCACAGTCACTTGACTAAAGTAAGGTGGTTTCGGCCATATCAATCTCAACTGATTAGGTAACAAATTATTTATAAACACTATCTTTAATCCTCAGGTCAAGCTTATAAATCCAGAAAAAAAGAGTAATCATTTTATCCCAATTCGAGCGTTTCTCATTTTACTTACTTACTTTCATCTGTTACCCCCAATGGAGCATAGGCCGCCCACCAGTTTTCTCCAACCAACTCTGTCCTCGGCTTCCCTTTGTAGTTCTTTCCAGCCTTTTTTAATTTTTCTCATGTCTCCCTCTATTTCTCGGCGTAATATGTTCCTTGGCCTTCCTCTTTTCCTTTTGCCTTGAGGGTTCCGTGTGAGGGCTTGTCTCGTGATGGAGTTAGGTGCTTTTTGCAGTGTGTGTCCTCTCCACTTCCACCGCTTCTTCCCGATTTCCTCCTACACTGGAATCTGGTTTGTTTTCTACCACAGTACGTTGTTGCTGATGGTGTCTGATCAACGAATCCGACGTATTTTGCGAAGACAACTGTTAATAAACACTTGTATCTTCTGTATGATTGCTTTGGTAGTTCTGCGAATTTCCGCTCCATACAGTAGAACTGTCTTGACATTTGTATTGAAAATCGTGATTTTGGTTTTGTTTGAAAGTTGTTTGGAGTTCCAGATATTTTTCAGTTGTAGAAATTCAGCCCTTGCTTTGCCAATCCGCGCCCTCACATCTGCATCGGATCCACCTTGATTGTCGATGATGCTGCCAAGTTATGTACAGTTGTTAACGTCCTCCAAGGCATCTCCATCAAGAGTGATTTGGTTGGTGCATGTTGTGTTGTTTAGTAGAATTTTGTTTACCCATTTATGTATGTTTAGACCTATTGATACCGGCTGCTGCTGCTACACTGGTCGTCTTCTCTTGCATTTGTTGTTGCGTGTAACACTTTGGTCAGTACACGATCGGTCCTTACGAAATCCGGCCTGTTGATCTTGAAGTTGAGTGTCTACGAAATCCTTCATTCTGTTTAACAATACCCTGTTGAAGACTTTGCCTGGTATTGAGAGAAGAGTGATGCTGAGATTGCCTTTCTTTGGTATTTTGATGCGGTACAAGCTGTTATTTATCAAAACTGTCATTACTATTTAAATAGTAAGCGCTTAACAACCAATAAACTAGGTAACTTGCTTTAAAAAATTAATTAGCAAAATATATTTTAATTGAGACTAAGAATAATTTACATTTCAGCTTATTTCTTATCATGTATGCTGAAAAATTATCACTACTACTTTGCTGAAATAAAGTTATATTTGTCAACTGATTTAGGTCTTCCATGTGTCTAATGATGGTCAATGAAACTCAATGAAACTCAACCATCTCAAAATTAATTTATTTTTTTGAATAATTCATTCAAATACATGCTAGTGTTTGGTTTAGTTTGATACAGAAATTCACAATTCCCATCATGGCATTTTACCCTATATGTTAAGTGTTTACATAACATTACATTACGTTACATATTTAAATTACACGCTAAACAACATACTTAACCAACTTAATCAGACGTTCACTTGTTCAATGTTTTGCTCGAATTCATTTACCTAAATGTTATTTACTTAGATGCTTGAATATTCTTGTTCATTCAAATTATTACTGATCCTTATCATTGTTTCTAATGTGTGAATTATTTTCAGATATGGATGATTATAACAATAAACCAGATGCACCACAGTCTTTGTAATTTTATGGAGCTAATTTTCAAAAACTTATTGGATAATCAGATCCAAAAAAAACAGTTGTACAACAAAACAATCTTGATTGTTAAAAAAATATAAAAGAAATTGTTTTAATGATTAACTACTTATTTTCTGATATTATTTTATGATTAACAGAGTTGACAATGATTTAAATCCAATGATTTCATTTTCATTGTTAATAATCAATTTCAAAGTCGAATCATAAAGTTCCACAAATTTCTCAGTGTTTGAGAAATCCAAATTCATCTGAAAACAGATATTGTTTAGTTGAAATGATGGAGAAGATTTGTAGCTCAGGTGGATGATTGTGGTGGTAGTGGTGTTTGGTTCTCTGAGCTGAGGATGTTTTGGTTGTGGAGCTTTCATTGTTCTTCTGAAGAACAATGTCATCAGCACAAACTTCAGATAGAAGTGAAGTATTCGAATCTCTCCATGTTTGACCTGTAGCTTGTTCTGCTAACCTCGATCTTGACTAGTTGCTGTTGACCTTAAACCTGTGGTTGTTTACACATTAGTTTTGATTGTATCCCCCTTTTGGTCTGTTTCTTGATCCTGCGTCAGGAAAATCATAGGTGACATATCAAGAAATATCAAGATATCAAGAAATTTTGATAAGGCGTAGGAAGTGTATTCTATAAGCACTCAGAAGATATGAGGTCGGAAAGCACACAAATTGAACTTATTTATACATGATAATTTTCGCAGTGGGAAATGTAAGCTGAAGGTAAACTAGGCAACTTATGAGCGAAAACCTAAAAAAATCCAAAATTAGGGCCTTTTCTAATTGAGTTCTGGGTATCTAACCTCACCAACAGTCCCAACCACCTCAACCAATGTAGTTAAAATATTTCGAGTAGGATCAGTCAGTAGCATGGTCATTGGTTAACTGTAGAAAACGGCTACCTCTAATATAAAGGAAAACAAGAAAATGTAACATACAAAGAAGAAGCAGAACAAATCGACTGAGTGTTCAGTGAACAACCAGAAAGTTCATAAATGTACGGAGTAAGCGATTGAAAATTGAAAAATCGAACTATCCATCTCAGAGAACCCATTCACTCTAACCACATGTATGGTAATCAAAATACACAGGTCGCATCACTTTACACGTACTGGATTAGTATAAAGCAGTTTACAGGGAATCGAATATCAGAAGTAATTTCGGAATAAAGACCTATTTTATTGATTTTACTGACAACACCATAGGTTAGTTGTTCGCTTGGAAACAGCCTCTTGTTTATCATATCAGGAATAAGCCTGTAGTGCCTCCGCATATATTCCAGTTGGCATATATTTAATTTGGTTAAGCTCGTTCGATTAACTTATTTAACCACAAGCCATTTGCGCAGCAACAACTTATATGTACCTTTCGCTCTTACTATTGTCTGGTTTGCATAACCTCACATGACTTGCTTGACTGGCTTGCTTTTGACCTTGTCAATCATTCGTCACTTTTGTTCATGTGTGCATACCTATTTCGCTTATCGCATGTCTGTCTTATTTTTGTCTGACTATATATTCTTAGTCGTGCTCTATCTCTTGGAGTTGACTCAACAGCCTTCTCCAATTCACGTCGCTTCATTCGTTTTGTTCGCTGCTTCCCCGCCTCATTTTGTGGTGTGTCCCAAATAAATGTATTCAGCACCGCGTTCTCACCTTCTGATTTACAACCGTCAGACGCCATATAGTAACGATTGTCTAGACGGACTAATTATGAAACATTGAGAACACGTCGAAATTGGCCACCACAAGTCAAGTGGAGGTAATTAAATGAAATAAACCTCACACTTAATAGCTCTATTTGTGAGTGTTAGACTAATACGTAAATACCTAATCGATGATAATTACTGTATCTGCCTATAGTCTGACTGATGTGAATCATTACCATTTACCTAGAAGTAAATAGTAGTGTCATCAAGGCTGAGTGCTTCACCTTGTATTGGACTCATCAAACAGAGTTCCATATTTACTTGTGACACAATGAATATATCGAGACAACCTGCACGGAATCCCCATTTGTTAAGCACGACTGATCAGATTTCAAGCACAACTATTACCCACAAGATAATCCAAGCGATTTTTTACTGAGTTAGGACTCGAACTCGCCACACAAGTGAGTAGCTATCTGGTTTTGGAACCCAAGTGGATGGCGCGATGGTATCTCAGGCAAACGATGCTTAGTTTGATTACCGGGATAAACAGAACTCTAGGATGAGTCACAAGTTGGACGAAACGTGAGTTCTGAAACTCACCAGTAGTCATAATCCATTCATACCATATCAGTTCACCTGAAAACTTTGGGAAACCAGCTTCAGGTTTAATTAAACTAACTTAAATGAAAGACAGCTTATGAGCACTTTCTAAGTAATTTAAATTTAACGAGCGAAATTCAATGGATTTGTAGTGACATACTTTTACGAAGATAACACAATTGCTGAAACATAAACATTTATAAATGTACTTAATTCTGACAATAATTGTCATATTGTACTCCTTTTGCTTATCTGTAAAAAAAGACTATCTCGCGCCAAGCGTGTTGTTCCCTCTCCGCTCTTGTCCTAGCTGGTTGTTAGCTGCTTTTTTTAGCCTAGCCTCCATATTATCTAATTATCACAAGGCTAGCGATAAATATACTTCTTCATCCTGAATAATTTCTTTGATTTCTGGATTAACGGGATTCATATTAGTAATATGGCGAAGGAATAGATTTATTTCGATTTACTATAGACTCTTGGAATCGGGAAACCTGGTAGAGTGATCTCAACTGATGTGTCGTTACAAGTTAATTTAGAATGTGAAATTTTAATGTTTAGGTTTAGGTTTGTAATAGTGTGTTTATCTATGTTTATGAAATAACAACTCTGTTCCATGATCGGGACTTGTCATGGATTTCGCACTGTCTATAATGACCTGTCCTATCTTCAGAGTGCGTAATATGCTTTTTAGGATAGGAAAAGTTATAAATATGAAAAGCAAGCGTCATATGGAATGATTGTGCTTGCATGATTATCCACGCTGTCTCGATTACGAGTTCCGATGTCCATTATTCATCATCTTGTCCAAATTTTGAACGTTGAATATAAGTCTTTTTAGTTTCCATGAGTTAATCTTCGAGGATCGTGTGTTTAGGATTCAAAACTACCACGAATCTAGCGAAAGGTGTGGCAAAATTACTTACATACTGACAGCATGAATTACATGGGACAAATAGTTTTTGTTTCTATGTTATGCATATATTGTCTAGCTTCATTTCGAAGTCGGTCCACTTATCGGCCGTATGCCCAAAACATCTCATTTTGGTGGTGTTTGTGGCCAATAATCTGACTCCGATGTTTATCAAATATTCCGTGTGCTGTGAAATTAATCTTTCCTTTAGTTTCCAAACATCATTCAAAAGCGAACTGCGTTTGTGCTACAGCGGCAATAAAAAGTCGAATATGGATTTGATTGGGTGAATTTGTCACAGGTTATCCTACGTGTAGATGGAAATAAAAACGAAAAGCGTACGAGCAAAGCGAAGCGAAGTGAAAAAGGTATCGAGTCAACCTAATGTAATGAAGCGTGGCTAAGTGCGTATAGTGAGACGAAATAAGCGAAGTAAGTGGCTTGCTGTTCAGTTTCTTCTCGTGGCCGAGCTGTCGGTAGGTTGAAGGTATCAAGCAGGATGTCAGGGGGAAGGTTTTCTGCCCTTGATGAGGGGCTAGCCGTTTGCGTATTTAGAGAGAAAATTTCGGTGAGGAGCTGTATTGTCTTAGTTGTAGTGGGCGGGATAACGGGGCTATTCCTTGTATCGCGTCACCGGCTACTTAGTGCACTTAAAATCACATTCCTGTAGGTATCTTCTCGGTCGGGCGAATCGCTCTCTAGAGTTCCACCAATAAATGAATATGGCCCAGTATCCTTACAGTATTTAAGAACTGAGCCAAAAGGGCTGAGAAGTTATTGAGAACTTTTTGAACAACGCTGTCTCTAAAGACAGTAATATTTTTGGTGTTAAGTTATCTCAGGCTCATCAGCAACATGAGCAAAGGAGTAGACCAATCCCTTTAAACAACAACTTTTTAATGCAAGGTCTTTGAGATAATGTTTAACTGTAAGTCTGGATATGTTTTTCAGTTATTGCTGTTGTGCTGATTACAACGCAGTCATTACTGAACCATAGAGTTTTCTTCTACAAAAGATCCTCTTATTTCTGAAACCGAGAAAAGTCATGATTCCTATACTCATTTATTTAGGAATCAGAGTTACCTCACACTTAGTATGGTTACAAAATGTCCAACCTTATTTAAGATATTCAGAAGCCACAGACGTTTGTTGAGTAAAACCTTGCAGATGGTCTTTGAGTGACTATTAGCTCTACTGACACTCCAAATTTCGTTTCTTTTTGTTCTCACTCAACACAGAAGTATGAAGCTTCACTCAAGGCTTAAGACTGAAGAATGAGTAGAGACATTTCAGATATGTGGGATAATTCAGTTTTTGTCAACATCCGCAACCTTCAATCACTTACATCCACTGAAACTTTTTGAACACCTGAAGATGGACAATCATGTCTAAAAGGTGATAGTAATCACAAATAATGTAGAAATATTTGTCTGATATCCTCTCCGTTATTTGTACATTGATCACGATTTATATAATGACCAGATTCAAGAGTGCCACTGCCCGATATTAGGAGTGATGAATGAAAACACTATAAGCATAAACATCCCTCATAATTTTGTATATTATAGTAAGGATAACTTCCGGTGGGCAGTGAGATCAGCGCAAAGAACTTATTTTAGACACTCCTTTACTCAGATAGACAATGGGAAATGCCAAACGAAGATGTCAAACTTTCATACTCAGTTTACTTAAAAAGGTAATTGTACCGTTTTAGGTAGGAAAGCTACATGTAAGCATGTCTATACAAACATACTAGGCAGAAAATGAGTGAAAGACTCAGAATAGTTCATCTATTTGATCATGAGGACAAGTGAAGTTTGTTATAATACAAACTGCTGCATTTTATCGTTTAACATCGTCAGTCAGTCAGTCAACAAGTTTAATGCTCGGGTTGGCATGTCACACCAGCTTGGCTCGTATGCAGAGTCTGAAGAT